TGCAAAGAGCAAAATTATCGACGATTTTTCTAGTTTTTTTACTATATCTTTGCCGCTTCTGCTTTTTTTCCTCAAGTCTCTTAAGAGACTGGGTATTATTTTTAGTCTTCTTGCTTTTTTCTTAGAGCTGCAAGTCTTGTTTCCTATAGCCATTTGTATGTTTCTATCAGTTTTTGTTGTTGTTTTGTTTTTGTATTTTTGTGTACGGAGAATCAGCGGGGAGAGTTGTAATCTTTATATTTATAAATATATAATTAGAAATAATAAATAATTATTAGTATATATAGCTGAAATATTTATTATCATATGTGTTACATATGTATATTATACAAATTTTTAATATCGATATCAAACGTACATATACAACTACTTTATCTTTTGACTATATTTCTTTAAGTAATACCGCATAATTATATATTAATGTTAGGTAAAAAAAAAAAAATAGTAATACGTATATCAATATCTATACAAAAATTTTTTACATTGCTATACATGCAAAATTTTTTATATTATTATACGTATTAAATGTATAACGCAATTATATAATTATGATATTACATTATCATTATTATTTTTTAGATTATGATTTTTATAATATACATTGATATATAATATAAGTATCTAATGCTTATACTTTCTATACTATAATGTTCAATATATATGTAAGTATCTTAAGAATATTATTTATTTTAAATATAATTACGTATATATTAATAATGATCAAATTCTATACTATAACGTTCAATATATATGTAAGTATCTAATATTAAGAATATTATTTATTTTAAGTATAATTACGTATATATTAATAATGATCAAATTCTCTTATAAATAAAGTGCAGTTTTTTTTTTTACGTTTTATATTTTCTGTTATTGAAATGTGGGAAATTGAAGAAATCCGTTTTTTGTTTAAAGAAAGAAGAAACCGCAATAATGAATATCATGAAGCATTTAAAAAAAATCGTTTTTAGCAGAGTATAACTAATCGCTTAAATAATCAGTTTGATACTTCTTACACCAGCAAGCAGTGTAAAGATAAGTTCTCACAGTTAGTTAAGGAATTTAATGTATATAATAATTTAAATTGTGTATATATAAAATATTTAAATTTTATTAATACTAATTTTTTTTTTAATAGCTAATGAAAATGTATCATGCAGGTGTTTACGGTGGTAAAAGCACTTTACTCAGGTGACTTTTTTTTGAGGAATTTAAAACTTTGTTCTGGTTTCGGCCATGTAAGTAATATTAAATAGTTTTTAAAGTCTTGTGCTTTATGATTTTTAAATACTGTTTTTTTTTTATTTTTTAGATGATAGAAATGATTTAGAATATGAGTTTAATTGGACAACACCACACAATCGTCAACAACAACAATTAAATTTTTCAGAATCGCAACTGCAATCTTATCAACCAAATTTTTCAGAATCGCAACTGCAATCTCATCAACTAAAGCCAAAATCGCGACATCATTAGTCAAAGCCAAAATTTATGGATGAGTCATGCACAATAGACTTATCAAGCTCAGATGAATTAAGCACAATAGGCACAACAAGTGAATCTAGCTTAAAACATATTTTGAATGATTAGTTAACTTTTGCTTATTTCATTAGCTTTCTTATCATATATGAATATATGGGGTTTTTGCCTTGAAAATCAAATATGGGACATATGATTTACTATGTCTCATAACTTGATTTTCAAGGCAAAGACCCTATATATCAATAGCTATAAATGTATAGTATCTGCTGTTTGATTACTTTAGCTTACATTATATAAATATATGGTGGGGAGTCAGTAGAAATGGGACAAATCATTTTTAGTGAAATTTTTTTAATTTTTAAATTACAATTTCTTGACAACTA